GTGTGTGTGTGTGTGTGTGTGTGTGTGTGTGTGTGTGTGTGTGTGTGTGTGTGTGTATAGGAAGGGGTTGGAGCGGGAAGGCAGACGATCGGCTCATCAGGTTCTCACAGCGGCTGAAAGAAGGTCATAAGTGGCCATCAGCGCTCCCAACCCTGTCTGGATAGATCCCTCCTGTCGCAGCAGAGCTCCTTCCATATGGAGAGGGGCCTAATTACCCCCCACCAATGGCTGAATCAACATTTGATTATATCCTCCCCAAGGCTACTCTGAAAGCCTCTATTCAAAGACCACTTTTATTATGTATTTTCTCTCATAATCAAGAATGGCTGTTATTTGCTAATGATACGTTTGATATATATTTTTAACACAACCCCTGACACTGGGGCAGTGAGATGTCTGACATAAGTTCTGTTTGAGTAAGCTGATTTTGACTTGAATGGTTTGTCAAACCCAATTGTTGTTCTAGAGAACTGATTTTTGAATATACATGGTAATTTATTATTTAAAGTTGTCTAAATGTTCCAGATAGCAGTTGGTTGATGTTGTTTGGAGCAGCGCTGTGTATTTCAGTCAAATCAAAAACAAGACTCCGCAATCTGAATAATGCTGTTTTATTGAATGCTAGATGAATACAATGAAACCCACACTACATTTGTTTTGATTGATTCCTTTGTGGTCAGAACACCTGTACGTGATGCTGTGAAGAAATGCATATTTCACCAGCAAAAAGACAATGAATATGATCCTATCAAAAAGCTCTCTAACTGTCAAACATCCGGAACACCTCTTGTAAAAGCTGTTGACAAAAAAGCCAAACATGTATTCTTTGTTTTGTTCTGTAGCCAGCGTAACTTGGCAGAAATCACAGAGTTGATCCACACGGCGTTCCTGGTGCATCGCGGGATAGTGGACCTGAAGGAGTGGACAGTCTCAGATGGCCCACTGAAGGACATGGAGTTCGGGAATAAGATCGCCGTCCTGAGCGGCGACTTCCTGCTAGCAAACGCTTGTACCGGACTTGCCCAACTGAACAACACTAAGGTACCCTGTCTGTTAATAAAAAATGATTAGTGTAACCGTGAAATGTTTGACCTATCATCAGTGATATTTTTGAGGAAACACCGCTTTGAACGATCTCCCGGTGGCCATTATAATCCCTGTTGACCTTTATCCCTTCGTCTTTTTTCACCCCCATATAGCATCCACACTCCATTTCAGAGTTCCCACTATTCACGGAATTTGTATAATATGATTTATTTTTGAGAGGTATTTTCCTTCTTTTTCCACAGCAACAAAACCCTACATATTCATTTCATAGAACAACATTAAGTGATTATCGTTGTCTTTTTTATTTTGTCTCCATCTGGATCTGAGTCTGCATTGGTGTGATTTTTACACTGCAATTGCCAGAGATCCTTTTTCATTCAAACAATGAAGCCCAGTGATTCGCATCCTGGGGGGCAGTGAGATATATCTGAGTGCCCGCGAGATGATCATGTGGCTCAGTGGGATATTGCGCTGATCTTCGGAACCGGGGAGAGCTAGTTCGGGTTCTACTCTAGTCAGTATGTCGTTGTGTCCCTGGGCAAGACACTTCACCCAAAAATGCTCCTTTTGGGATTGCCCACAGTACTGAATGTATGTAAGTCGCTTTGGATAAAAGCGTCTAACAAATGACATGTAATGTAATCAACAAGATAAGCTTGTTTGTATTGTGCTGTGTTGAACGAAGCAAAACACCACTTTCGTGGTTGGTCCGGCAACTTCCGTTATGTAGCCAAGATGGCGATTGTTGAGAGTAACCAGTATTCCACACTCAACTTTTTGACCATTATGAGTGCTGCATCATAGTGCACTGCATTTAGTCATACTTAAAAATGGGATGCCCTTTTGCACTCAAGATAGCTGTTGTTGGCACAGAAGTATGCAAATTGAAACAGGGTTTTATGGTCGAACTGAGGAGGCCAGCAATGGGAAAAAAAAGATGTTAGATGCTTACTAGAAAGTTTGTGTGTTTTTTGAGTGAGAGAACTAAAATTCAAGGGGCCCAGGAGCTGTCTGTGTGCTGCCATCTTGGATAATCATATCAAAACGTACAAGTGCTAGTTTTGTGTACCAGTGTGGTACTGTGCGGTTTGATATTATTTACACCTTTCCAGGTCATATTTAATGTGTTTCACACTGTATTTATATAAAACACTTTTCCAAAAACAGGTCTTTGTAATGGTTAAGAGTTTGGTCAGGAGACACTGTAAACATGGACGCCATGGGAATGCTTCTTATTGAGTTTTCTGGAGGTAAGTGTGGTGGTGGTCGTGTGGTCACAGATCATATCTCTTGCGTAGCCTGGTAACCTCTCAGTGACAGAAGCTGTCACCATGCTGCTCTGTCAGAATGTGGTTGCCTGAGTGGATCAAAATAACCATATCTCTGCCATCAGCTGGACCGAGCCTTATCGCTTTCCCTGACGACTCTTATTCAGCACACAGTCTAGGAGCAATGAGATGCCCTCCCAAATGGAAGCGGTATCCATGGTGGAAACACAGCAAGAGTTACGAGGAACCATTTCCTTTTGAATTAAAACATATTTTTAAGGTGTGGCATTTCCTTTCCAGTGCTAATTGGCTTTCATTAAGATTTGTCACTGCATCAGTACTGTGTGAGATGATTGACAAACGGGAATTATAGTAATGGAAAAGAAAAACACACTGAGAATGAAATGATGGCAGATCTGCTGATGACTTGAGCTAATGATGATGTAATCACATTAACATCCACACTGTGCGTTGGCACTGGTTGAATGGAAGTTGTGGAGCATCTGTCCCTTAAGTGGGGCTCATTGTCAAGGTGAGAGCAAAGCCATTCAAACTCAAGTGGCACCAAGTGACACCAGAAACTATTTGTCGAAAACAAACCTGCTGTGTTTAGGAGTGTGAGTGTAATGTGAAGCGGCCACAGGAAACGTCCCCAAAAAAGGAAGTTTTAAAGGTAATAAGGAGATGGACATCTGATAGCCAACAGTTGCTCGTGTTTGAAAAGGTTAGCAAAACAAAATAAACCGAGGGCAAACCACGGTGTGCACTGATGCTCATATTCTGCTGTGTTTGTGTCAAGCTGTTCTTAAATACCTTATGACCAGGGGGGAAATTAGGTTAAAGCAAAAGTCAATCATTGTGAGTTTAAGTTACAGGAATTGGATATGTTTGGGACATATTTTTTTTTTCAATGGTGTGGTGATCCTGTTTACTCCCCTCCTGTACATGTTGACTTTCCTCCATCACTTTTACTTGACTTTCCTTCCTTCACTTTTATTTGGTTTGAGTGAAAGAAAACAATCTAAGTTCATTTTACCTGAAGCGGTCTTGTAAATTAGGAACTTTGAGTAGATGCACACAATATCATCAAACTATTGTGTCTATCAACATAAATTGAGGAGACTCGCTATCCATTAATGGCTGTATTAAAACAAAGACGTACATATTGTAGCCGGCATGAAAATCCAGACTACACTCGAGTTGTGAGGCAATAAAATGTTCCACATTCAAACAGCAAAGCCAGAGATAGTCTAGTCTGTAGAATGGGTCAAGTTCCAAAAACACTACATTTCCTTCGATGCAACTGGAAATCATGTTTTGTTAGACCCCCTACTCTCACCTCATTTTTTACCTCACACCTCCAGTTTATAAAAATAACCCTGAAAAGATTGCCCGATTTAATGCTGCACATTTTTAAAAACGCACAGTTGATACACACACAGCTTGGACCGCTGTGACATTCGGGGATTTGGAACATTTTAGTTTTTATATTTGGATAGTTTTTTTAACTCGGCGTGTTTCTCCTAATGGAAGATATATGGGCCGTTTGCACCTTTCAGCCACCGTACATAAACCTAAATAAAACACTACTGGAGCGGGAAAACCTCAAAAAGCATAATAGGGCTTCTTTCAAGTTTTAGATCCACAAAAAAAATTGTTGGACATAATAATCTTATCTTATCTTATAATACTGAACATATCAAGCTTTGCTCCTAGGCTAACTAGGAACTTCCCAGTTATAATCACTCATTGGTTTAGCTCATTAGGATAAACAAGGATACAAACAGACATTTACATTTTTGAAACTTAACATTTCTCTCTGGCAAATGCAAAGAAAGCAAACTTTAGATATGTATGACTCTGCATCAGCTCCAAAGGGTGTTCAAAGAGTGCAGTTTGAGTCTGGTATGTATAAAAAACAGATTAACTGTCTCTTCTTGCAGCTTGTGTGTGGCCATTGTCCCTCATCTCTTTAACACACAGGGTGACAGATGAGTCGTTCTTGCAGCTTTCAAAGTTTTTCTCATAAACCGGGACTTTTTCTCCTTCTTCTTTTAAGGCAGTGAGAGTGATGGAGATTATGTGTCGTGGCCTTGAGAGGAAACCTATGCCGCTACTTGTATAAACTGTAAAGTAATCTCACCGCCAGGCTCCGGTTTCTCCCCCCTCGCAGACCTGTCGGCAAAACACGATCTGGCTGGATTTGGGAATGGAGTAAGGGGGAGGCAGGGGGAGAGCTTATCTGATACTTTCCAAAAAAAGACCCCCACCGGCCCCCACTTCCCAAGGCAGGCAGAGACACCACATCTGGTAATACTGTAGGCACATTGTCCTTCCAGGTCTGCGGGTGGAGCTCGGGTTTCCTCAATATTTTCCCCCGGTGGGTTCAGTTACCCAGAGGGCACGGTGGGGACTGACGGAGCAGCGTCACCAGACTTTTCTGATGAACCAAGGATGTCTGGCATGAGCTGAAGGAGCTCTAAATTTAACCTCATTCATGTGAACCGTACGGGCGTGGCCTCCACCCCCCGTCCACACAAGTCTGAGGCTGTGAATGAAGGACGGAGACTTTTCACTTTCACTCATACATTAGATCCAGACCTGTCATCTGAAATGATGCAGCCTCTCATCTGGGGGTTGATAATTGGCTGCCAGTGTTTCTCGAAGCTAAAAATGTAGTCATGCATGCCCCCTGTAAGAGGGAATAGGCAACTGCAGCAGACACTCACACCTCCACAATGCACTGTGGGAGAGAATGAAGATTTGTTTTGTTTATTTATATATGTTTTAGTATGAATTGTAATTCCAAAAGCAGCATGTTTTCTTTTTGCCGCATATTTATTATATTATAGTGTAAAGAGTCATATCAAACACCAACATCACAAAGGAACACAAAATCAAACCAATGCAGCTTGATAAAAACAAACAAATCAGCGAGCAAAAAATGAATAAAATAAAAAACTTGAGTTTTCGATTTAGTGGAGTAAGTGAGAGTCAATAAAGAAACATTATGAAAAAATCATTAACCTAAAAATATATATTTGAGAGATTATGTTTAAAATAAAAGGTTTTTCTCCATTTCCAGTTTACATTTTTTTTCCTTTGCTTTCTCTACCTCTATTACTAAAAAGCACTGACTCATTAGTCGATTTTTGATCTTAGTAAATAGGGATGTCCCGATCACCTTTTTTTGCTCCCGATCCGATTCCGATCATTTGATTTTGACAATTTGCCGAACCGATTTTTCCCGATCTTTATGCAATGCATTAAGAGGAAAAAAAGCATTCAAGTTGTCCCTTAAGGTTATCTTTTTATTTAAATTGGATATTCTATCCAACATGGATATAGCTTATTTTTTTCACAGCAGCATTGGATCAGTTCAGTTGTGCAGCATTGGATCCAAACAAAATAAAGCTTATCAGTGCTCGTTAGCTTACTGCTACAATTAGACACTGCGCCCTGCCCACTCTGTTGCCAGATTTGAGCGAAATAAGCAACCAGGTCTATGAAAACAAGCCCCAAAGAAGCAACACATACATGATTTTGTGTAATTTGAAACCAAAACTAAGGCCTCAGGATGACTTTAAGACTTGAACATGGTCATTTTTGTTTTGTAACATTGAATACAAATTCTTTTTTAAAGTATTTTTCTCCCGAT